CATGCTGCATGAAGCTCCCAGTCTCTTTCGAAATATTCCTAGCTTCAATACTATAATCGTCAGATTCAAAATCAAAACTCACAACTTTCGCTCACCAATAATTTGTGAAGTTGATAAAATATTAAATTAAATATAAAATCTTTCTACTGTAGATGAATAATAATACTTTAAAGTGGTCTATTTCTAATTGTATTTTATAAGCTCACAGATGTTATGTTAGATGTTTTAAACAGATGTTTATGATTTAGCGCATAAATCACTAGATGTTCAAAGGGCAGCGAGAAAAGCGTGATCTCTTAACCCGCTTATCAGGCAGCTCTTTCTACAAAGGCCGAATGCTGCAACCTTTATACTATTGTTGTCGGTTACTAGAAATACTTGTAATTTGTTTTCAGATACATCCTGTTCGTTATGTAAAGATTCTACTTCTACGAATGATTTGAATAAATTTAGAGTCTGGATTGTTTTGTGCTCTGCATATTGTCTGACATCTTCCCTCACGTATTACTGACAGTGTTTCTAAATATTTCTCACAGAGAAGGCATAAGCAAACCCTTTTTAGAATTGTTAGGGGGGTTCATGTCATCATTGGTATCCTTTAACTTTGCTGTAATTAATAAGTTATGTTGGAGTATGATTAGTATCACGCATATTATTAAATCAGTGCTTTCATCTACATAAATAGTGTTATTGATAATAATAAATCTTTTTGACACCATCCTTTTAGTGCAATATTTTGCCTATTTTAAGTATTTTCACAAAACAAATTTGATAATTTTGGGCCTTATAGAAACAATTTTGTAATGGCTACTTAGGCCTTATCAAAATTTTGAAAGAAATATGAAAATATTTAGATGTTTTTGTGTGAAAAGTTACTTTATTAATCAAAGGATTTGCTTAAAACTTTCACCAATCCAAACAATTGTTTTTGCTTTTTTACACCACTGTTGTATGTACTAAACTAGAATGCATTTCTGTGATTGTGTAATATCTCACTATAACACCAGAAATCATTAGAATTGTGTTTTTTATTATTTCACAATGTTATGGCCAGTCAGCTGATTATATTAGAATTATGCTAGTATCTCAGTGGCGGCAACACAGGGGGGTAGGGCAGATCAATCAAGATGAAACCTTTTGTGTCAGCAAAATTTGCCTCTCAAACTGCAGGAAATAGCGTTTCAGAGGGTCTAGATTTAATAATTGTTAAAGGAAGCATGCCCTCGGACCCCCTCGTAGTAGGGTTTCCCTTTGGCGCTAGGTTGGTGAGCAGATCTCGTCCCTCCATGTAAAATTTCTGGCAATCAGGCAACAAAATAGTTTGGTTATATGGTTGGATCAATATAGCCATTGATTGGCTGAAATTTTCTGTAATGTTGTATCTGAACATATATCATACATGATTTGAATTATATTGCTTTTCTGAAAAGTATATTTGGTATTGTCGACACTGCAGTCTGGATTGGGGATACAATTCATACAGGCTTACCATGTTTTGTTGTAAATATCAAACCTTTTGATATCGAGCTGCATTTCTATGTTCTGTGTTACTAGACTGGATTTTTAATTTTACTGTATGATGTAGAATCTGTGTAAGGTTGTATTTATCAACAGATTGTCACAGAGTTCACCATCTGTATTAAAAGTCAAAGATCACAAGACCTGATTTATTAAAATCATTTTGTGGTAAACTTAAACACATCTGTGAATCTGGGGATAAATGTGAATAAACATCAAATTACAGCAGCACTGGTGCATTTTGCATCCACGTTATTTTATTTATTTTAACTTATAAAACTAGACACAGTGGTATCTGAACATCCAGGGATGAATATTATGTTTGTATCTCTTTGACAAAAACCATTGATTAACATCTGTAATCTTTACTAAATCATTCAAGGTATTTCAGTAAAAAAGAGGAGAAAAAGAAGGTTGTTGTCAAGGGCGACATAGAAGATGAAGATAGTGATGCATCTAGTGTAGAAGATGAGGAATTTGATGAATATCTTGGTAAGTATTATTTAAAAATATGAGTCTTTGTGGAATTGTTAAAAAAAGTTGTTTTTCCGACTTGCTTTATGTGACAGGTTCAAATATTCACCTCAAATCTGGCACTGAGGGCACTGTTTATGACATAAGGGAACAACCCTTTTGATTGATGGTCTGGATGGATTATATCAACAAGTGCATTGAGCAGAAGGTTAAAGGTTCTAGACTGTTTTTAAGCTTTGAATTATTAAACAGTGCAGTATTCATAATGACTTCATATTCTGGGAAAACGCCCTCTGTCTGTCTTAAACATAGTATCAATGAATTTAATTTTCAGTTAAAATTTTATAGAATTGTTTCAGATCTTGCAATTTTGTATTCTGTTAACTAATAATTAAAAATGTGTTTTGTGGATGTTTTTCTTCTGACACCTCACTCGGTGTGTGCATGCCGATTTGTATGAGAACATAAGGGAACGAACTAACAAGATTTATGCATTTCGATAATAATTCTATTTTCAGATGAGCTTGAAACAGGAGAGATTGGTGTGGATAAAAATGTTGATTTCGCAAGGTAAATATAATATCCATGAAGAAACTCTTGATTGTCTGCTTTTCACCCCACCCACACATCTTGCCAGCCAAGAACTGTTTATTTAGCAGCAGCAATTATTCTATTTCATATTACTTTAAAATTGTAAATACAATATTTAAGTTCCTTTCTTGTAGAAACTTGTCCATATTCATTCTTGCTTTTTTGAATGGTAGCCAGAAATAACGCAAAAGATTGTTTGATTTTGGTGATGATATATATTTTTATTGGCAGATTTATATCAAACTACTTGTATTTATTTTATTAGTATTGCATTCACTTGCGTAAATGACGGAGGTGTGTCTGTAGTTAAAATATTTCAGGTTTTACCCTTTTTACCATCAGACATTCTCACCCAAATTTGTCTGCACTTTTTCTTATATTCTTCAATATTTCTGGAAAAGAACCCTAATTTTGTCAATTTTTAAGTTTTTACTCAAAAAATTTGGCTATTTTTGCCCCAATCTTCTGAAGGAAAATTCAGACTATAAACAGGATTATTTTGTGAATTTGTGATGAAAAGGTTCTGCATAAAATACATGCAATTATTACACATCTGTCATCATAAGTTACATACAGCGTGCCGTAATTTTGCTCTATTGCACTGGGTATTTTCATCGTACCATTTTAGGAATCGCGAATTCCAAATATGAAATGATTATGCACATAATAATAAAAAACAAACATGGCTGCCCCAGGGTTTGACCGGATCACACACAAAGAAGTTTGCTAATCTGTTCTAAACATTTTGGATTTCGGCATTTTCATGATGTATTCCTGAGAGAAAAAGATGTATAATAATAAGGTTATTATGAGGATGCTGCAAAATATGCACTCAGACAGTACGCGTGTGCATCGATACTCCCGATGTCCTCTCTTTGTGCATACGTTGCAGTATCCTCGTAATACCCTCAGATTAGTTTATATGCGCTTCTATTAGAAATATGCTTTTTTATTACTC